TAATTGCCCCGACTCCAATATGGGATGTGTGCCCACGCTTGTGCCATGTTCCATCATAACAAACTGTTATATCCCTGGTGAAATATTGATCCATTTCTTTGTAAGTGGCTTTTACAGCAGAAGCAGATTCTGCATAGAAATTTTCTATGCATTGTGTCTGCGGTTCCCTGAATTTCTTCAGGTGCTTCTGAAAGGTCTTGTGATGGAGGCCACGATGGGACACGTTCATCGCTGCCCAAAAGCCGTTGAGAGCTGTTTGTCCCTTGCCTATTTGTTTTGTTGCCGTAATGGCTCTTACATTCACATCAAAGGCCTTTGTGTCATCCTGACGAGATGAACTCCATGAGCTTGAAACTACTCCACAATGCAAGCATACTAGCTCAAGCTTTGCAGCAAGTCCAAGTTGGGTGCCTCCTCGTACCTTCATCCCAATCGCGGTGCACCGGTGGCACGGGGTCCGAGATAGCAGGTCGTCTAGGGCATCCATTTGCACAAGGAAAAATTTTTTGCCTTCACTTGTAGCAGTGGTAGCTTCATAATCGCGCTCCATTGCCTGAAGTTTCCGCTCCGTCGCTGGCATAGCGCCAAGTTCTCTTTGCACAGCAGCGCGTTGTTCATCCGCCGCCTCTTTCTCCTCGCCGCGGGAAACTTCTCCTCAGCTGCGGGAAACTTGAAAGCTCTCGCAAGCCCTCCAATCATGAGCGGCTTGCTCCTCTCCTGCGCTGCCGCCGGCGACGCAGGTGGCGGGGAAAGAAAGAGCAAGAATTCACAAACAAAACAACACCAAAATGGCGGCGCTCCGTCGAGCGGTCGAGAAACTGCGATCACGCCAAGTTGGGGTATTTTGAGCGCTCGCGCGCCGCTCGAGGGCCGTTGCGGCATGTTCTAAACTTTATTTCAAACGGTTTCGCAACTGAATTAGACGTTGATATTTACAGAAAAGGTAGTTTACGACACATACTGCCCGAATATGTGGTTTGCCAAAAATCGACTTTTTCGCGATTTTTCGGTTTTCAAAGGCAGCGTCCCCCCTTAAAGATGTCCCATTCACATGTCAGTGAGCCGTGGATGCGATCATTGATGGTATTAAATACGACAATGCCCTTGTGTATATGCATGACTGCGTAGTCTTCAGCCGAACAATTGAAAAACACATTTCGCACCTTCAGAACATATCTACAGGGTTCGAAATAGCAGCATTGAAGTTCAAGCCACAGAAGTGTTTTTTTTTTTTTTTTGTACTGCCATCAATTACCTTGGGCATGTTGTCACAACAGACGATGTATCTCATGACCCATCGAAACTCGCAGTGGTTCAGGCCTTCCTTGAAATGTGCAGGAACTACAATCACTCATCAGGCTCACATCGTACTCCAGGAAGTTTATCCTGAATTAGAGCGTTATCGCAGCACGTCGTCACTCCTAAAGAAAAGTGCTACTTTTTTTGGGGAAGAACACCAGCAAGTGGCATTTGAGACATTAAAGCGTGCGTTGTGCCAGGTGCCTGTCCTTAAGCTATTCTCCAAAAAACCAGAATTTGGTGTCCAAGTGCACACAGATGCATCTCGGCTCGGCCTTCGAGGTCTATTACTGCAAGAAGATGAAAAGCGACGATATTGTCCAGTGCTATACTTGAGTCGATCTTTCAGAGGTGCAGAGTTTAATTATTCTTCGACAAAACTAGAAGTTCTTGCAGTAAAATGGGCATTAGAAGAGCTACGACCATACCTGATTGGCCGAAAATTTCAATTTGTCAGCGACCACCATGCACTGTGCTGGGGATTGCGCTACAAGGAAGGAAACCAACGCTTTCTTTGTTGGTCACTGATTCTGCAGGAATTTGACTTTGATGCCATCTATAAATCAGGAATTCTACACAGCACACCAGATTGTCTTTTTAGGAATCCCCCCATTGTGGATGATGCTGAACCAATTCTTGCAGTATCATATCCATCACTGCGATTCAGTGACAACATGGGTGAGGAGCAGCGTCAGGGTGCATTTTCGCTAAAGTGCTGGATATGCTTAGGGGTGCCCTGGGCACGAAAAAGCAACAGAAACGCATGCAAAAGAAGTTTATCACACATAACGACGTGTTGCTCAAGAGACCAAGGCCCAGTCAGCAGTCGATTTCTTCTCTGCCTTTTTGCACAACAACAAGCTGAGGCGCTCCATGAAATGCATGAAAGACGATACGGTGGCCACATGGGATTCACGCAAACATTCGATGCTCTTAGGTCTAAGTATTACTGGCCAAAGCTCTATGCAGATGTCAGACGGTACGTGCATCACTGTGACCTTTGTCAGAGGATGAAGATGTCGACATCGGTGCCTTATGGTCTATTACAGCCAATAGAAGTCCACAGCCCATTTCACACAGTTGGGATGGACATAATAGGGCCATTCAAAACTTCAAGAGGTTACAAGTACATCATTGTAGCCACTGATTGCCTCACAAAGTTTGTGGAGGCAAAACCACTCCGAAACATAGAGGCCGCAACCGTCCAGAAGTTTGTTGAACGACGGATCATCTTAAAACACATATGCCTAGCCGCAATTATCACAGACCGCGGTACTTAAATCATGGCGCGCTCTACTGAAGCATACCTCAAAAATCGGGGCATCAGACCTGCTGCCACTACTGCATATCACACCACAGCAAACGGCTTGTGCGAAAGAGCCAATAAGGCAATCAAACAGATGGTTGCCATGACTACCGCCGGGGAAGAAAAATGAGCTGATGTCCTCCCTTATATTGTATTTTATTACAACACCAGGTACCAAGACACGGTTCACCAAACTTCTTCTTCCTGGTCTACGGTAGGGATCCGGTGCTACCATTAGATGTTGTATACAGCCGCCGAGAGCTTGAAGAGCTCAAAGAAGAATCAAACTATTTCACGGTAGTGCGTGAACGACTACGAAAAGCCAGGGAGCTCGCAGCCACGCACATCCGACTGGCTCAAGAAAAAACAGAAGCCGCGCTTTGACAAGCACCACAAGGATGTTTTGTTTGAAAAAGGACAACTGGTACTCCTCAAAGTTGCAACGTCCGGTGTGAAGACAACTACATCGTGCACCGGACCTCAGAAGATAGTGAACAAACTCTCTCCTGTGAACTATGAGATCGAAGTCACGGACAACATGGGAAGTGACATTGTGCATGTTGAAAAATTAAGACCATATCTGTGCCTCATTGCTCACATTGAGCAACCCAATGCTTCATACTAAGGTGTACATGGGTGCTGTGTAGTGTAAATAGTCGTAGGTGCTTGTATATAGTTTTGTGTGCCTGAAAGTGGATAGACAATGTTCTGTCGACTTTTGTAAATAGTTGCAGATAAGACTGTTTAAGTTACTTTAGTATGTCTGTCAGTGTTTTGTGTACGAAGCCGGGACGACTAGTCTGCAAACCCAGGCATGTGACGAGCGATAGCAGATGACAATCGGTGCGTGTTTTGCGCCTTTGCACGAGAGAAATGAAGTAGATCGGCGCTAAGCTTGCGGGCGCTCGTGGAAAGTGAAATAAATAAAAGGGTCTGGCAGTCTCTTCCGTATTTTGAAAGAGTGCGGATGTCCTTCTTAGGCTGCCTCGGAACCCAGTATATCCGACGGCCACAACGGCACGTCACAAACTTGCAAAGGTTCTTTTGACGACAGAACCAAACGACAAATGAGATAAATAGAGTTCGGTGGTGGCCGTATGACAGGGGTTTAATACAAGGCATTCCTCCCCTTCAGTGGCCTGGCTGTACCTTATTTTGTGCTTCTCTTTTCAGCCACGAACAAAAGAAAATGACTCAGGGGTGTGTTGATTCGACAATGCTGATTTAACTCACCATGCTGGACAATCGAAAAAAAGACTATGTTCTATGAACCATGTGCGAAATTTATTGCAGTGTTCAGCCATTGGTGCCTTTCTGTTATCATAAACAATAACATTTCTTGCTTCCTGTCATCAATACAGGTAGCACATATCTTTCTTTGTTTGACATCATTTCAGTTTCTGTAAGGATTTATTGTGCCTATATTTGCAAATTAGAAGGCCTAAAATAATGTGTTATTTGCCTATTTCGGTGCTTAAAATGCATTTTCTTAGTGCCTAAAAATCGGGCCTCTAATCTGTGGGTAAGTGACTGTACAATACCCGAGCATTGCGTCACATATTATAAAGTGAATGACAAAGTGTACATAAAAACCTAAATTTATTTCGCCTTCTAGTTGTCTTAGGCAATGCATGGAGAATTCGGAAAATTGCTGAAGTGGAGGACATGCCTTGAAAGTGAATCCTAGATCCATTATTTTACCGGTGGCGGATAAAATTATAATGTGGGTAATTTGTCGTCACGTATAGTGTTTAATGTGTGCCTTTGTGTTACAGGTTTGCTTGAGAAGCTTCAACATATGAGCACGTTTTAATCAACTCATCAATACTCTTATTGACAGGTTATTTTGGGTGCCACAATTTTTAGATGTGAAGTGACATGGGCACATGGTTACCATTAAAAATAACTAACTACACACCTTCATTGAATACCAAAAATGAGGTTGTAAGTTTGTGTTTCTATCTCTAGCACTTATTTCTGTTAAGAAGAAATGTAAGTTAAGAAATGAAGTGGTGTCTACACAGACATCGGCAACGTAACATTACATCAGCCACAACCTCATCGATGCAGAAGCAATAATTGAGCAAGGCACTTTCCACTTGTTGGTCGTGCCAGTCTATCGCAGATGCTTGAATGTGGATTTACTTGAGGATGAGTTGTGGGTACTTCGCTGATTCACAAGCATCCTCCAAGTTTTTTAGTGCTGTGTATGTTTTTATTTTGTCATTTCATTCTGGTACCCAACCACAAAGTTTCGTCGATCACCTGTGCACAACTGTTGCTGCAGCTGTTTAGTGATACGCATTCAGCTTCAACAGATTGCGTGATAAAATATAGTTTCACGTTCTGAGGCTCTAAATGGTAGCAGTTTGCCCATTTAACTTCTGGTCTGCAGGTACTGGAGTGGCTGTCTGAGATGTTGGCATTGGAGGTGCCGACTGATGTGCATCAGCTGCTACTGTCCTGTGCCTGCCGTCTACGCTTCACTCCTGAATATGGAAGTATCTGGACACAACTGCTCCCTGGCCCGCTTGCCTAAAAGCTGCCTTAAATAAATTGTGCCTTGCCATATTTTCTGCCATTTATGGTGAACACTAGCCTGCCAAGGTGGCTGCCTTGGTCCACACAAGCAATAGTTTATGATTTGAACCTTCATGACAGCATGTTGGGCATTTTAATGCTACATTTCTGGTGCCGCTACGTATTGCCAAGTGTGCAACTGGTGGTTGCAAGACTTCCAAAGGTCATGAGTGGAACCACTATGCAGTGATTGATGTAAAATTTAGTCATTGTGGTAGCCGATGAGTGAAGGAAAAAGCAATAAAGATATATCTGCTATTGAGGTAAATCACACCTATGTCACATGGGATGTTGCCAGGAGAGGTGTTTTCGCATTAGAATAAGCCTCCGCATCGGAGGGCAATTTTGACTCTGGACGATGCTAAAAACGTTGTTTCTTATTGGAAAAGGTGCTGGAGCACACCGTGAGACACTGGACAGCACTGCATTTTCTCTGACATGCACTAGGTAACGCTGTGTTGCTGGGCTCCCTGGGCACAACTGGCATTCCACTGCACTCACTGGGTTTGACGCTGCATGCTAAGACAGTGTGCAATGCACCGCACTAGATGTTGTTACTGCACTCTGCACTGGCAACAGTGCACTGATACTGGCTGCGCTTGCCCTTCGGATGGAATACTTGGGCTTTGATCTGTACAGGAATAATGGCACAGTCTACAACACCTTACACTTGGCAGCGAACAATCCAACATGCTACAATAAAGTAAAACATCATAACATTAATTTGTGGTATATGCTATGAGCCCGCCACTCACTGGAAGCGTATGTTAAAACCATGGTTAACAGTCTGCGACTGCGCCCCATCATGCACGGCTATAACTGGAGCCTGTCAGCACCAATAGTTCTTTGACTTGGGCAAGTTGGTACATAATCCATTAGGCTTCAGGGGGAATTTGACGAAGAAAAAGGAGATGCACAGAACACATACAAGTGCTGACTTACAATTGAGTTAATTCACACGTCAGCAAGCCTTTTTATGGGCCAAAACTTGCCTGTATCAGCGAATACATGGAAGGGCAAGATGAAAGACGACAAAAACAAAACCCATGATTTGTATTCAAAAGAAAAAAAAATTCAAATGATTGCAGCGAGATGAAATATCAAAGATAATGCATGCCTATATCACACATGACAAAGTGATATTTGAAACCAATACTTTGCTCCTCCGTGTATTCGTTAATACAGGCAGGTTTGGGCACATAAAAAAGCTTGTTGATGTGCAGATAAACTCAATTATAAGTCAACGGTCGTCTGTGTTCTGTGTGTCTGCTTTGTCTTCGTCAAATTCGCACTGAAGCCTATCCGAGCCTGTCTGCACCCTTCTCCCCAGTCTCATCGAAGCTTTAGCATCTCGCTTCCCAAGAGAACAGAAAATAAAACTCGGCTATTGTTTGGGGTTTGTGGCTTTTGGGCAAATTGGTTGCCTGTACAAGCGTCCTATAGTCATCGTACAACAGGCTGTTCGAAGGGCTCAGCCACTCCAGCAAGCAATTTACTATGGACATCCGTGGTCAACGAGAGGTGATCTCCACAGACCCTGTGAAATTTGCCCATATTGTGAACTCGGTTCAAGCATTTCCGGGGGTTAGGGTGCCTCCCAGAGCAACGGTAGTACTTTATCTAGAATGACGCATTGTGGGAAGTGCACATCATGTGACCAGGCTGCCTAGACCTTTAAAACTCACTTTCGCCAATCCCCCTAAAAGAGATATAGTGTTATCACTATATCCCTTTTCAATAAGTTGGTGAACTGAGTTGCTTATAGCGTGCACTACATATGTAGTGCACACTGTGAGCGCGCCACTCAGTGCAGCTCCGGAGGTAGTATGTGTTTAGATTCTGTGGCTGCACGCAAGCGTCCTCTTTCTCAGGCTCATCAGTGCTCCAGCATCTCTCTCTTTCTCTCTCTGAGAGAACAGAAAATAAAGCTCAGTTATCATTCGAAATTCATGCTTTCGGTGAATCGATCCTTGCTGGCGCTAGCGTACCACAAGTTCATTTTTCTAAAAAAATTTAGTCAAATTGTTCTACAGACCAGAACGCCTTCATATATCGCCCAGCTGATTTAGCCGGGCTTTCTGCTCCTTCCTTATGTTGTGTCACAATGAACGACCATAAGCGTGACATGCTTGCATGACGTAGCACCTAAAATCCAGAAAACGAGTAGCTTCTTTGTTGCAGAGGGTGTAGCAGTAGGTCAGTGTTTAGTTAACTACTCGAGTCAAGTTAAAGCCAAGTCAAGCAAAGCCAAGTAACGACGTCCCAGACTGCATTCCAAACACGCGCTCCACCGCTTATGTACACACCAACCGTGTTCAAAGGAGACAAAACGAGGCACAAGACGTGCCGAGCAAGCACAGTGGGTTTTGTGGACGGTGCCGCCGCTGATGCCGAAGCACGACATCGTGAGACTTAGAAATGCTCCGCATTTGATGAAAAACTTCATTACATCTATTGAGGAATCGGTGGAGTCCTTAGTCCGGGACCCCACTGGCTTGCACCCCGGTCCTTGCGCGGGCCACTAGGGCCTCTGGGACCCCCTGGTCCGGGCTGGACAGGGCTGTCTCGCGCCCATCTCTACTGAAATCTCTAAAGACATCTGTTTTAGATGTGTTTCTCTGGCACTTCCATGCTATATGACTGAGTGTAGCTAGATTAGTGTTGCATAGCCTACACGTAGATGATCGGTACTTGTCATGGTCTATTTTGGAGAGTACATGTGGGTTGGGATACGATAACATTTGTAAGCGACACCAGGCTACCTGTGCGGCTTTACTTAGGATGCGGTGGGGGATATATTTTCCGAGCAAGCCTTGGATTTCGTAATGGTTCAATGTTTGTGGTCTGGTAGGCCCTGTGATCTGGAAGGGCTGGAAGCCGTGCATGCAAGTTAGAGTCTTGAGGTAAGAAAGCTCAGGTGGAGGCATGAGCCAGCTCGTTGCCTCTGAGTACACAGTGGCCAGGTATCTATATACTTTGTTTCCAGTCTGCCTCAGGACGACCGTCTCCTGCTTGTGAAAGTATTCTGCATGCTAGAGGACTGATTAGGCTGCCATTGAGTCCGTAAGGACGAAGGTGGACATGTAGTTCCTGAGCGCGAGGGCGATAGCTACCTCCTCCATACTTGTGACATCATCCTGTATAGTAGATATGCAGTCAACACATTTCCCTGGCTTACTACTGCCATCGTGCATTCTCCTGTATGTGACCGGGCGGCATCCACGAAAAAGGCACTCTCGTCGTCGGAGAATTTATCATGGGCTTTGGCTCTGGCTTCGCGCCAGTCTGCATGGAATATGGGGTTCATATTCCGGGGAAGAAGGCTTTGTGGTCATGCTTTTCCGCCAAGCCTCCGGCACCCTCTGTTTGTTCTTGACATGCGTTGGTGGTGTGATGATGTTCAGCTTAGCAAGCACCGTCATACCAGTTCTGAAGAGGGCTAGCCTGATTATTTGATTTTGGAGGTGAGCTTTGAATAACTCTGCTGTGGTGTTGTGAATTCCCAGTTGTTGGAGTCATTCTATGAATGTCCATCGAGGAAGGTTCAGTGCCTCTTTAAGTATACTATATGACGCAGTATGGCGTCGATTTTCGGTTCATATGTTTTGGTTATTCAAAGGTAGGGATAGCTGTATGTTACCAGGCTGACCACAAAAGCTTGAAAGAGCCGCAAAAGGTCTTGTTCCTTCTAGGTGAAAATGATTCCCATTCCCAGCTGGATTATGGAATCTGGAAATTTTTCCAGACTCGCAATTTTAGCTGGCAATAGAAAATTTTTCTAGCCTAGCAAAATTTGCAGGTTTCATAATTCAGCAGGGAATAGAAATATTCTCAGCTTGGAATGAAAAAATTTCCAGCCCGGACAAATTTCCAGGTTCCATAATCCAGCAGGAAATGGAAACATTTTCCATTAGGAATTAAAAATTTTTAAGCTTGGAAATATTTGTAGGTTGTATAATGCAGCTGGAAATGGAAATATTCTCAGCTGAGAATGGAAACATATTAAGCAGGAAATGGCTTGTTGCTAGCCTGTAAAGAATGTCTAGATTTTCACCTCACTGCTATTGCATATTAGCATACAGTTCCTACAGAACCTGTTCATTCAAATCACTTAACACAGAAGAATAAAATTGTTTTCAAACTTGAAAACATTTATTTGAACGCTTGTAGCAAGTACTGGAACGTATCTAGAGATGTCTAATCTGTTGCTCACTTTTTTGTACACCACCTGAAAAATACATTCATGCATAGTGAGTGCACATTGAAACCACAATGACATTAAAATGCTATTCTACCAAAACTATAACTTGATTAATCCACATGAACAGCATTATTACAGCTTTGCAAAGCAGCATTCATCCTTTATCATCTTTATCATGCATACAAAACAGCTGCGTGTAAAGCCATGGTTCCTTTTAGGAAAGATCTGATGGGCATTACGGTCAGGTGCTAAGCAACAATTCTTTTTTATCGACCTTAAACTACTTCTAATGAACATCAAATTATTTACGCACACTTATGTAATTACTGGCGTTAGTTGCAAAGACGCATGCACGCCATTGGCACAAGCATTGAATGGCATATGGATGTTGGTGACAGTCTTTTTTGCTCAAAGCAGCCTGTAATGCATTCCGTGCGTGCAGAAACATTGTGTACAATCATTTGGGACAAACGTGCATTTACATTTGAAATATATAAGTGAAAAACTTTCTTCCAAATGGTACAATCACAGTTGACACAATCCATGTCCCTCGATCAGCGCACAATCCAACACATTGCACACAGTACAGCAGTCAAAACCACTCGAACATACTGTCATCACTCGTAGCACTTTCTGGAAATAAAACAACTATTTTATACAATAGCCACACGGGTATTCCTCAAGGAAAATCACTAGAATAGTATACACCAAGCGCACACATGTGCAACTTGCCCTACAGCAAGCCGCCATTTGTTGTATGAAACAGCGGTCATGCTGCGGTGGCTGATAA